TTAGCCAACCCAAGAAAATAAGACCCCAAAATCGATGCTTTATTTCTGGATTTATGTGTTCGAATTGAGGACGAAGTACACAGTGCGGCGTCGCTTTCCAGTTTTGCTTGGAAAACAACACCACAGATTTTCTTATTCTTCTTCTTTTTTGGCGCTGTAACCGCCTAAGCGATTTTGGCCGAGTTCAGCAAAGCATGCCAGTCGTTTCTCCTCTGTGCCAACTGACGCCAATTGGAAACGCCAAGTGAAGCCAAGTCCTTCTCCACCTGATGTTTCCATCGCAGTGGGGGCCTCCCTCTTCCTCTGCTACCACCAGCGGATTCCGAGTTGAATACTTTCAGAGCTCTGGCGTCGGTATCCATTCGAACTACATAACCAAGCCAGCGGAGCCGCTGTATTTTAATACGCTGCACTATGTCCATATCGTTGTAAAGCTCATACAGCTCATCGTTCCATCGTCTGCGGTACTCGCCATCGCCAACGCGTAAAGGGCCGTAAATCTTCCACAAAATCTTTCTCTCAAACACTCCAAGAGTCGCCTCATCGTATGTTGTCATTGCCCATGCTTCTGCGCCATATACCAGCACGGGCGTGGTTTTCGTACGTCGAGAGAGGACTTTACTCCTGAATTGCGTACTCAGTCCAAAGTAGCACTTGTTTGCAAGAGTGATTCTGCGTTGGATTTCAATGCTGACATTAGGTGTGTACTCGTATTGAGAGGACAAAATTCTCCAGCTGCAAAAGTTCTGAGAATTTAGCAGCATTCGCTCTCAAAGAGAAGAAATATCAACAGAAGTACGAGAACGCAAAATTTGCAAAAACTTGCAACCTTCGAAACAGCTGATTAATGCACAGTTGCCACTGGTGAATAATTTGGCAATTTATTTTCTGCTTGGTACATTTTCTCCAGATTTGGCATTTTAAACAATTGAATAGTTTTGGATAAGAAAAACCTTTTTAAAATACAAATTAATTATATCGGATTGAATAAGTTATTTTTCTCATAATTATTTGTGATATCACATGGTGACGCATTCAAAAACAAGAGTATCTCCTCCAAACACGCATCAGTGATCAAAAAAAGAAAAAAATGTAATTAGATATAGCTACAGATGTAGCTTTAAAATTATAAAATTTTCATTTCAGCAATCAACTTACCAAAACCGAAAACTTCAGCAAAAAAACATTTCAGCATGCTGCATTTAAATCTATTTTGGTAAATTTAAAGGAAAATTATGGTACAAACGAAAAATGTCATACGGTAACCATAGTCAGCACACACTAAAGTAAGCAAACTCGAGATTTATAGCAAATATACGAAAAATAAACTTAACAATCGTTGTGCTTACTAAATTTACTCACTTTTTCGTTGTATGCTAGCATTAATAATAAAATTTGCAATAAATAACTCACAAAGGCCATACCCACCAAACAATTTGTGTTGCCAGCAATAAGAAAACGTGTCGCCCTCGGAAACAAATTTATTGCCGGTAATATTGCCATCGAATCGATTTCCTATTACCGGTCGCTCTAAAACGTCCGCCGAAGGCAACTCGTCTGGGCGAGTCGTTTTCTTATTACCTGAATGAGTCCTTTTCTTATCGCTTCAGGCGATTTTTGGAATAATTTTATTCTTTTTAATACTTCATTTATTTTTTTGTACCAAATTGCAACTTACAATCGGAATTAATTC